TGAACAGGTTAAAAAAACATCAAAGCTGCAGGTATGGATGATATATACAGTGAACAAATAAAGTATCTAGGCCAAGAAGCAAAAAACTGGATCTGAACTAAAATCCAGGAAAAGCTTCCTTGGAATAGTGCAGGATGAACTGCCTGAGTATTTTTCTCTTCCCCAGGTTCAATAAACACGCCAGTCCCTGGACTTTAAAACGTGGAAAACTGTGAATAGTATAAGAACGGGGGTCGCTCCAATAAAATCAAACATGTCAAAATGGGGAAAAATAGACCAAGATGATGTGAACTGTGACTTTGAGAAACACAGAATATGGAACATCTTCTTACATGCAGAAACTCTCCTCATCGATGTACCCTCGAAGATTTGTGGCTCGCCAACAAAGATAGAACCGACGTAGCCTGATACTGGGCCGAAATTTTATGAATGACATGTCTGGACACGATAAAGTAAGTATCATCTCTCCTAAACACAAAAACCAAAGAAAACAATATGCTTACTACCTAATAATACTCGCAAGCAAATTTATAAGTGGAGGTGATTCCAATGTCAAAAATATACATTGGGATCTCGACTTATACACACTAAGGGCAGAGAATTCATGACTACAACTACAGGTAACAATTTAAACATCAAAGCAATAGGAGAACCCACTTACTAGCCGTCTGATCTCTCGAAAATACCAGACGCTATCGACTTCTTCATAGTAAAAGGTGTTAACCCAAATTACCTAAAAATTGAAACTTGCTATGATCTTTTATCAGATCATTTTCCTACAATAATAATGCTACATGCAAAAGTTGTAAGAGAATACCACGATCCACAGTTATGTAACCTAAACACCAACTGGAAGCTACTTTGACAAAAACTTGATGAGAACATTTAACTAAACGTTCCACTTAAGACACCACAGAACATTGAAGAAGCCATCGCAAATTTAAACAAAAGAAGTTCAAACAGCAGCCTGGCACGACACTCCTAATGCTACTTTTAATGTTACTTACAATAAATCCAAAGGTGATAATACAATTAATATAAAAGAAAGATAATAGAAAAACGAAGACTTCTTCTTCTTCTTTAAGTGCCGTCTCCCAATCGGATGTTGGATATATTATTATCACTATCTTTACTTTATCTACTGCTGCTCTAAAGAGTTTTACAGAACTGCATTTAAACCAGTCCCTTAAATTCTTCAACCATGACACTCTACTTCTTCCTATACTCCTTCCTCTTCTTATCTTTCCCTGTATTATCAGCCTTAGCAGTTCATATCGCTGTCCCCTCATTACGTGTCCCAGATATTGTAACTTTCTTATTTTTATTGTGTTTATTATTTCACATTCTTTGCTCATTTCTCGCAATACTTTCGTGTTAGTTTTCTTTTGTGTCCATGCTATTCTAAGCATCCTCCTGTAACACCACATTTCAAAGGACTGTAACTTATTTATGTGTTCTTGCTTCAATGTCCAGCTTTCACGTCCATATTGCAGTATCAAAAACACGTATCATCTCAGTGCTCTTACTCTCAGTTCTAATCTAAGATCTTTGTTGCAGAGAATTGTTTTCATTTTTACAAACGCATTTCTTGCTATTTCTATCCTAGCTCTTATTTCGGTTGTTTGATCATTATTTTCTGAAATCTAGGTTCTTAGGTATTTGTATTTATCAACCCTTTCTATTGGTACATTTCCTAAATGTATGTTTGTTGATATATTTCTTTTCATTGTTATTATCATGTATTTGGTCTTTTTTATATTCATTTTTAATCCATATTTTTCACAGAAACTGTTTCTTTTGTTTAGCAGTAATTGGAGTTGTTCAGCAGAGCTTGCCACAATCACGGTGTCATCTGCATATCTTATATGTTGTTAATAGATCTTCCGTTATTCCTTCACTTTAAGATAGTAATGCTTCTTTAAAAATGGCTCCACTATATCACTACACTAAATAGTAATGGGGACATAATACATCCCTGCCTAACTCCTCTCCTGATTTCAATTTCTGGACTGGGTTCGTTATATATAACGATTTGTGCTCCTTGATTTCAGTAGAGGTTTGTTATTATTCGTAAGTCCCTGTGGTCTATGTTTTTTGTCTTTAGAATTTGGACTAATTTTTCATGTCTTACTTTGTCAAATGCTTTTACAAAATCAACGTAACAAACATGCACACCAACATTCATATCCATGCATCTTTGAGCTAACACATTAAAAGCAAATAACGCTTCTTTGGTTCCTAATCCGTTTCTGAACCCAAACTGACTATTATCTATTCCTTCTTCTAGTTTTTTATTTATACGACCATGTATTATTTTCAGGAATAATTTGGGAATGTGACTTACTAGTGATATTGTTCTGTATTCACTGCAATATTTAGTGTTTGTATTTTTAGGGATAGCACAAAAGGTGGAGAGTAACCATTGTTTCGGTATGTGTCCTGTTTTGTATACTGAGTTAAATAAGTCTACTATAATGTCTAAGGTTTCATCATTCATGCATTTTAAGATTTCTATAGGAATTTCGTCTGGACCTAATGCTTTACCATTTTTGCTGTTTTTTAATGCCATTTTAATTTCCTCTTTTAATATCTTTAAAACCATATTCTGTTCTACTTCTATCTCCATCTGTTCTGTTCTATTGTCTGTGAATAGTTCATTGATGTGTTCTGTCCATCTCTTTAATTTGTCGTTAGTATTCAACACAAGTTTCATATTTGCATCTTTCAGTATTCCCGGTTTTCTTGTTCTATTGTTGTGAGTTAATTCTTTAATTTTTTTATGTGTGTTAAAACTATCATGTCTTTTCTGTAATTCTTCTACTTCTGCGCGTAGTTCTTTTAGCCATTGTTCTTTCTCTTTCTTAATTCTGCATTTTATTTGTTTATCCACTTTTTTGTACATCTGATTATCTTTGTTCTTATATTGACGTCTTTCTTCCATTAAATCTAAAATTCCTTCCCTCATCCATTGCTTCTTTTTATTTGTATTAGAATTTCGTTTTGACTTTTATCTATTTATGTCTTTATTAATAACCATTTTTTTCTCCGTCTCAGTATTTTGCAGAATTTGTTCTTTAACATTTATTAATCCGTTGTTGATTTCATCTGCCAGGCGTTGCCTTATGAGTGAGTTCCTTAATTTACTTGTATCGATTTTTGCCTTTGTTGTTCTTCGCTTTATTATTTTCATTTTGAGCCTAATTTTGGTCACTACTGGGTTGTGATCTGATCCTATGTCGGCACTTGGATAGGTTTTTGCGGATATAATTCGCGTATAAATTGAAGACTTCTTAAAAAGTGCCAAAACCATAGGACTGAAATCAATAAAAGGAATTACAACAGAGTAGCATCTGAATTAAAAAGACTGTTACACACAATAAGATATCAGAATGTACAAGAGCACCTCGAAAAACTAACACCTGCATAAACAACAGATTATTCTCTATGGTGTGCTATACGAAAAATGAAAAGACCAATACAGCAAATACCTTCGCCTAGAGACTCTGAGGGAATTTGTAAATTTTAAATTTTAGTAGAAACTTTGAAGTTTCAATGGCTAACATAACAGATAGAGAGTCGAATACTATTTACGAGATGTAAGTATTCTGATGCTTCATATATTGCTATAGCTTTAGCACTAAGAATTGAAAAATTAGGATTTAGTCAACAAAGTTTTTCTGAATTAGTAGGTACTTTGGTTGTAACGTATTAATTAGTTGTAAGCACGAATAAAAATGTTCAATGTTTAGATTATCCTCTGATTTAAAGTCATAAGGTTGGGAAAATCGATTAGTGTCCGCAGTCATTTAAACACAAACAAATAACAACAACAAAGTCATAATCAAAATTTGACAGGCTTCTTACAAAGTGGAGGTCATCGAGCAATAAGACAAAAGAGGGAATCTAATCGTTATAAAAAGGAGACCAAAAAAGTGGCCTCTGATGGCGGACACATCCGGAAATGTAAAGGCGCCAAATTTAAATTTTTCGACACTTATCAACAGTAGCTATGTAATATTTTTCAAAATGTGTCTTAGACGAGAAAGTTTTAATTAATTATTAATGATAAGAGTCTAAAATGCGACACAATTGTTAAAAAACTTCAATATAAATAAGATTTCATGTGACATTTGGGACAAACAATAACATGACCCAACTAAATTTGATGTCAAACAAGGAGAGAGACTCTCTATCCTTGTCTAAAGTGGCCTCTCAAGATGGCACTTCCTGTCTATCAATATGTTTACCCCCTCTACCTTTACATTCCCTCTTTTGTCTTATTGCTCGATGGTGGAGGTATAATAAGTTATTGAGTCTCCAATATCGATTAGTTAAATATTTTTCATTCAGAGTAACTGATATTTGAGTAGAGAGTAGAGTTACAATATCGGATACTAATAACAAATTTTGTTTAAACCAATTTTTAGATTTATCATGTATTTTTTCTTAAGTTTACATACAATTATCGTATTTTACAAGCAACTAAGCAGATTATTATTGGTAATAATAGTCAGGAGTACCTGCGGCCTACACAAATAACGTTCAAAATAATTTAAGAATGCGTTAATAACAATAAAAAAAGGAGTATTCGCACTAGTTATACACGTTATACAAAATATTATATGATAATAATTAGACAATCCCACAAATAAACGTTTACAATAAATTTAGCGAGAATGTACATCCTAAAAATGAAACCAAAGAATATAGACGCTTAAGCGTCTATATTCTTTGATGAAACATTGAAGTATAAGTATAAAAAAGCAACCAAAAAGTGTTCGATATGTCTCCTTGTAGGTATACTCCCACAATTTGTTTTCTGTAGTAACAATTGCCTATCTAACAGAAACATAATTTGGTATTAAAATAAAATATTGTTTATTAAAGGTATTTATATGTGAGTACTGTGTACCATTATACTTTAAATGTGAGTACTATGTTTATATTTTTTATTTATAGAAAACATCATTATTTTTGTTTCTTTTAGTGACAATGCTGTCATTGCAGATTTTGTAGTGGTAGTGCTTATATGAATTTTACGCATGCTCCATTGTGGTAGATCTTTTATTCCTTGTTTAGAAAGATGGCAGACAACACACTTTATGATATTTTAGGTGTGCCCAGAAATGCAGTAGCTAATGAAATTAAAAAGGTAAGTCAATGATTTACAATAATATTTCTGAGTCTACATTGTACGAATAAATTGTGTCGTCAGCTGATGGTGTGCAGGTTTCATGGCGAAACTTACACGCCAAGGACGGCAACCGACGTACTATGGTCACATTTTGACGTCGTGATTTTCTTTTGCAGCAATATAGGAAGCTAGCGAAAGAATTTCATCCTGACAAAAATCCAGCTGCCGGCGACAAATTTAAAGAAATAAGCTATGCATATGAAGTCTTGTCAGATCCAAAAAAGAGGTCCCTGTATGACAGAGTGGGTCTTAAAGGTATGCAGGAGGGTGCTCACGATGGATTTGGTGGAGATGATTTACTTTCACACTTATTCGGCGGTGGTTTATTTGGAGGGTTTGGTGGGGGAGGACCGCGAAGGAGGCTTAGAGGTGAAGATACAGTGCATCCTTTAAAAGTATCTCTGGAAGATATGTATAATGGGAAAACATCAAAACTACAATTAAGTAAGAATGTGATCTGTAATACTTGCAGCGGAAAAGGTAGTAAAAGCGGAAACACTGAGAAATGTAACACTTGTAATGGTTGTGGATTGAAAGTAACATATAGACAAGTTGTTCCAGGAATGGCACAACAAACCCAAACACGTTGTCCAGACTGTCATGGTGAGGGTGAAATAATCAAGGAAAAAGATAGATGCACTAGTTGCAAGGGCAAAAAAGTATGTAATGAGACTAAAATACTAGAAGTTCATGTTGATAAGGGCATGAAAGAAAACCAAAAAATCTTCTTCAGAGGTGAAGGTGACCAACAGCCAGATGTAGAACCTGGAGATGTAGTGATTATTTTACAGCAGAAACCCCATGAAAGATTCCAAAGAAATGGTGATGATCTACATGTTAAACATAGTATTTCCTTAACAGAAGCCCTTTGTGGTTTTTCCTTTGTAATTCATCATCTAGATGGAAGAGATATTCTTGTAAAACAACCTCCAGGAGAAGTTATTAAACCAGGTGGTGTAAAGTGTGTAAGAGGTGAAGGTATGCCCCATTACAAAAACCCATTTGAAAAAGGTAACATGTATATATCATTTGATGTTAAGTTTCCTGAAAATCATTTCACTAGTGAGAATAATCTAAAAGCATTAGAAACTCTTTTACCCCCTAGATCTTTATTCACAATGCCTATAGGAGAACATGTAGAAGAAGTCGATTTACAAGACGTGGATCCAACAGATAAAGGCCATTCCTCTCGAGGTGAAGCTTATGCAAGTGATGATGAAGAACAAACACATGGGCCAGGTTTACAATGTGCACATCAATAGAATATTACTTTTTAGTTATTGCAAATCTGTATGTTGTTCTGCGCTTCTTTCTGACAAAGGATCTTATATTTTGAAATTGATTCCGTAGAAAAATGAGTTTTTATTTAATATTATTTTGTATTTTACATAACTATGGCAACTTCAGACTGTAGTGTAGAAGGTACTGTTATTGTTTTTCATCATTTGCTCTTATTTATTGCATTGTATACTTCTGTTACTCATATTTCTACATAGATGAAATAATACAAATTATTTTAACATAACTTTGTTCTTATTTTAACGTGTGAATTCGACAGGATTTCTGCAACATACATTTTTTACCAGAAGCTCAGTATCTAGGGTTTTTGGAGATTTAAATCTATTGAAATTGATAATTTTATTTTAAGATAAAAAATTTATCAGTTTAAGTTGAAATTAATAAAAAGAACAGCTTGTAAATAAATATTTATTATATAGGTAATATATTCATTCAGGAACTAAATGTCTAATATCTTAGCTTTTAATGGTCAGTTAAAAATGTTTTTATTCCTGACATGACCTTCACTTTTTTAAATATCATTCAAAGTACTTTCTTTTTTTACTATTAGCATTATCATTAGCTCTAAACAATCAAGTACCTAATATTTTACAAAATATTTGTATATCTAATCATTGCTCACCTGATAATTCTATAAAATATTTTTTTAAAGGCAGTGTCATGTCTAGCTTTGGATCTGCTCTGCCTACATTGTACACTATAGGTCCAAGAAGTAACAAAGTATCATGCTATAACTTTTAAGCTGATTCTAAGGTGTTAAGCTAGAATATTATTAATAAAAGGTTGAACACATTTTTTCTTATTATGTCTGGTGTAATTTGGTTATTTTTGGTACTTAAATGTTAATTGATTTATGCATTCAACTGCTCATACATAACCACAGTTATGTAGATGTTTTTCTTTATATCCTTATGTAGACAGATCTTTATTTATATAACTTTAAAAACTTTTTTCAAAAGATATTTTAAAAAAATTAGATGCCACGTAAAAAGCAAATATCACATTTTGATACAATCACGTTTTTTTGTAGTGGACTGTCTTACTAAATTACATATGTGTAAAAATCTCTTTTTGCAAGCTACTAAAGATAGATAAGTTATTACTAAATAAAACATGTGATAATGTATTCGAATATTTTACAAAATAATGTATCAACTTTAAACACATTTATAGACATATACTGTGATATTGGCATGAAATGTATGTTGTAGTACTTAAAATTATGTGAAATACCTCTTTATTTTTGTATTATTTTGAAAAATTATGACACTAGATAAGCAGCGTAAATTTTTAATCCACTAAGTGTTTTTAAATCAATTTTGATCAATGGGATTGTTTATTTCTTATCAAAAATGTCTTTTTATCAACATTTGAGATGATCCATAATGTATAAAATATAATTTGTCTGGTTTATGCTCCAAAATTTGAGGAATTCTCAATTTCTAACTACTTAATTAAAGAGAATTATTAGCCACTTCTTATTTTTCATTATTAGTTATGTATCTTATCATATTTTGATTTATGACTAATACTCATTGTATTTTTGTTATGTTCAACTATCTTTTCATTTTTTCCTTAAGTCAGAAGCTAGATGGGCTTTTTTTGATTGGGCTGTTCAATATCATCTCTTTTAACATAAAATTATCCACAAAAGTTTAAAGACCCACGTCATCCATTACCTTATAGTAATGTTTAAAGAATGATTTTACAATTTTCTTGAAAATAAATGCCAATTTTCCTGATTGTGCATGTTTATTAAATTCCTTGAAATCATCTCAGGATATTAATTTAAAATATAGATCAATAAATAATGGTTCCTGTGCAAGTAAATGATATACCTCGTTAATTCCCTTTTTGATTTAAGAGACATACTTTTTGAATTAAAATTTACCCAAGCTTGCCTTGATTATTATTCAAGTGTGTTTGTGTACTTGAGCTATAAAACATTATGACAGAAACTCATTTTGAGAATTTTTTTATTTATTTTGATTTGTTTGTAAATAATGGTGATGTGGACAGTATTTTTCATTTTCTCATTACCTGAGATAAATGTAATTTAAAATAGACATGTTTTAAAAATAAACCGAACAGTTTCATGTGAACTGCATGTGTTTTTTTAATCAAAAGAAGAACTTGGCTAGTTTAGCAATTAATAGCTCATATGGAATATTTAAGTACTATTATAATGAATTTATTTTTGATCACTAATCTTGTGGAAACAGATTAGATCAACAAGACTATTAAAAATATTAGTTCCTGATTTTGATTACTTATCTCATATTTTTTATTATATTAGTTACAAATTGTAACTCTTCAATAATTTCATTATATTTTACTTTATTTTATGTGGAATTCAGTTTCCCTAATTGTACAGTGGGTGATCAAATTGTTAAAACCACCCCATAAAATTTAACTTTTTGTTTAACCTTCGTACCACAGTATAAATGATAACAACTGTCTATACTGTGTTCATACTATCTCGAAGTAAATGTTACACTCCTTGTCTATGTGTACAGGCGGACCCAGTGAATAAAACTCATACTTATGAATTAAATTCTGAATTTGTTTTTTATTAGTTCACAAAACCTTTTATGGATTTAATTAAAATTATTTATTTATACCATGAAAGTACAAATGTCACTTATAAAAAATACTAAATATACAATTACAGACCCTGAATGAATTCTATGTGGATCAAATTAAAAAAAATATCTAGATCTCAGAGGTAAAGGACACTATGTCCATTTTCTTACTTTTTCAGGAGAGCAGTTGTTACATTTGTAATCAGTAAATACTCAAATGTTTCTTATATTTAACCAAGATTAATATATTATTATTGTTGTGTATTTTATAATTTTTTTTAAAAATGTGTAGTTGAACATAGTGTTGTTTACCTCTAACAATTTTTTTAAATAATGTGACATTACATATTAAGGTCTCTGAGAAATAAACAAGACAAACACATTAAACAGCCTATATTATTATATTATTAGAGACAAATATTATAATGTTATAATAATTAAGTAAAATTATAGACAAGTCTTACAATTGTTAAAGAGGCTCCATATCATCTTCTTGGGGGTAATCGTGTATGGCTACATTGCATTGTGTTAAATTTTGATAAGACCCATGACAAGCCGTTCCATCGGGGCAAGGCAATAGTGCAATTATTAAGTCATTGTATGGTTGAGTTTACCGAAAGTACAAGCTGAATATAGCCGCAAATGTCAAGAATATTTGGGTTTGACAGTGTTGGGATGTTTTTATAATGCATATATTATATGCTTCAAATATAAAGAGATAAAGCTTTTAAAAAGTACATTTTGATTATACTATTTTATGAATTCTGCAATTTTTAATTTATATGAAGCAATAACGAATAAATATTTGTCTCTTTCGAGATTAATTGCAAACATCTGTTGCAATCTGGACACTGCTGATTTGACGATTGCCAAATCTATTCCCTAATCTATCAAAGGTTAATTGCCAAAATAATTTCTAATAATTAACTACAATTAATTTCCAAAAAACAAATATTTACTCATTCTTGTTTTTTTCACAATTTATAACATAATATGAACACAATTTACTTTTCTAAAGCTTTACCTTTTTATATTTGAAGCATAAAGCATGTACATTATAAAAACATGCCAACACACTGCTACACCGAAATTTTTTGTTCCACGTTTGACATCTGCGGCTATAATCAGCTTGTATTTTTGGTAAACTCAACCCATTGTACTTTTGTTTTGTGATTGGTAATAGGATTACTGAGACTTGATTTAATTGGACTGGAAATGTTACTTGCTGTCTTCGATACCTCATACAAATTTTGATTATTGAAATCGGTCTTATAAAAGAGCTTTCCAATGTGTTCTTGTACTTGTGGAAAACCACATGTTGACAGTACAACAATCTCTTTGTTAACATTCTCTTCTACTTACAAAAGGAGGATTAGGTGACAGTTTCTTATCGAACAACATTTTGAAGTTTTTGAAATTTGCAAGTTCTATATTGTGCACTGCGTATTTACCTGATGAAGTGAATGTCATTATTTGAGGGTACATATGAAGTATCCAAAAATAGCACATTATAATACTTATATTTTTATTTTGTCCATAGTAGTTATCGGTGCATAGAGTGATGTCCTCTACTTGACTACCTGGAATTGTATTATCAGTCCATTATAAAATTGACGAAGCAATTTGATTTGCACCACGGGCCCCTTTCGGTTCGTCTCACATCATACATTGTACAGAAGAATCACTGGCATTATATAATGTAAAATTTAATGTCCAAAGCTTCCTTTTGTAGAATATAATACAATTGTCTATTAGTGGTGAAGGCAAACATTTTTGCAAATCACCAGATAGTACTTTGTGTTTTGGTAACTCCTAAAGTCCAATTGTTTTAAGTTATACCGAGTTTTAGGTTCAATTAGATCAGCCTGTACACTGGTTAGTTCATATGTAGTAAGATTATTTTCAATTGAGAGGTGAATGTACGGCATGTATCGCAAGTGTCTATTTCGGGTGGTTTAAACAACAACTTGAAGTAGTTAATAAAAATATCTGTTTACAACCACTTTTTTAGCTCTTAGCTTTGGATCCACATGTCTTTCATTGCATTCATCAATTTACAGTTTACTTCTGTTTATTGTAAGTTCTGTGCACAGATAATTTCTCTTGCTCATTTCTCTGGAATAATGACTCTCATAGTTTGGGAAGGAATTGATATGTTGATGTATACTATTTATGGTTTCGGTAGGAGTTTTATTGATTGGCGTGTGTCTCCCTCTTTGATCAGCTTTTATTAAACTTCCTGGCTCAATTTTTTTAAACATATCACTACACTAAATTAGACATACAAAGTGTGTTTAAACACATAGCCTTGAACAACTTCAATCGTTGACTATTTACAGTAAGATTGTAGTGTAGTGTATTTTTTTTAGAGTTTGTGACTCTTTTTCTTGATTGAAGATTAGGTTGGAAATCCACACATGAGAAGATAAATCTTTTTAACATCTGAAACGTTTGTCGCAGTCCAGTATGTGTTGAAGATTTTTTTGTCTTTCGTATTCTGGCAATCTTTCAGCGCATTTCATGGTAACTTTATTATGTTAATTCGAATTCCCTGCATTACTGCTTTGGGATAAATCGTCCTTAAGAACATTTTTTGTTATTGCCCCACTAGTCGTAGTAGTAGTAATATCGTTCTCTTTTACCTTTGCTTTCGCTGGTTTACTTATATGTTTCACATTGTCGTCTGATTCTGTACTCTCACCACTTAGATGTTTACAGGTTTTATCAATAGCCACATCATCATCGCCAAACAAATTATCATCTTCGTCAAGATCCATCTGTCAAAAGAATACACAATACTAAATATTTGAGATTAGCAAAATACTAAATCAGTGTTATTAAACAATAGCTTACCTGTAGGTGTTGATCATTAGGAATATTATATGATAGTAATTGTAGTATTCTTTTCCCATGAGAATTCGGATCCAGTTTGCAATTATTAAACAACGGATGTATTGTACAACTTTTAACAATCTAACACTATTGCGAACTAAATAAAATGGTTACAATTATTTTTGCACACATTTAGTAGAGGTAAACAACACAAGTCCACATGGTGTTGTTTACCTCTGACTGGAAGTGGACTTGGTGTTTATTAAAAAGTCGGTAACTTGCCGTAAAATTGTCTCTGGACATAGTATGGTTTATCGCTGTGTAGAGCCAGAAAAGTTATATTCAAAAGGGCAATAATCCCAATTTTGATAAAAATGGACATAGTGTCCTTTACCACCGGGGTACAGAATACCAACAATAATATAATTACTTTGACACATTCAAAATTTTTAATAAGATGAGGTTCAACTGTGCAAAAAATTTGTATGGTGTATAGATATTATCATTATTGATATTTATTTAACAGATCAACAAAACAAACTTATTTATAAAAAAAGGAAACAAAAAATAACAATTGTAAAAAATGTCTGTGTGAGGATTCTCATAAATTAGATTTTTTAATTTTCGTTTGAAGGCATTAATGTTCATTGCCTTCACTATGTGTTATAGTACTTTATTCCTTCTACCACGATACTTCGTTGTCCTGCAGTTGTGTTCATTGCTGTAACTCTAAGGTGGAATCCTTGATGAGTGGTAGTTGTTTACAAATTAGAGTGAAATTTCTCCTTTTGACGCTGGTATACAAACAAACCTACATGGGAGTTAAATAGGTGACATGGCTATGTATTAAACTGTAATATGTATTTTTCCTATATTTAATATCTACATAATTTGCTGCTCTTGCAAGAACCCCTATTGCAGCTGAAATTTTTTTGCATACATGTATGTGATATTCCCAAATAAGTCTATGGTCAATGTATAGTCCCAAATATTTAATACATCCTACTTTTTGTAAAGGCCTTGAGTCAAGTACTGTTTTTAATTTTTGTCACTCTTCTCTCCTTGTTATCACCATATAACTTGATTTATCTGCATTAAGGCTAAGTTTATAATGATCTAACCATCTCTTCACCATCTGGAATTCAAATTCAACATATTTTTTTCCTCAATGGGGTTTTTGCTAAAATATACAATGAAGGTATCATCGCCATACATTTGTAGTGCAAATCTTAATGGCAGTGTTGAAACTGAATTAGCATAAATAAGGAACAGCGTTGGGCCAAGTATCGACCCTTGAGGAACTCAATATTAGACAATTGAATATTGTCCCTGTTAACAAAGGTAAGTTGTGTTCATACTGTTAGATAATCATTGATCCACTTAACACTATACCTAAAGTTTCCAATACAGATAATAACAGCATGTGATCAACTGTATCAAAGGCTTTCTTCAAGTCAAGCGATATTTATTAATATTTGTCATATAAGAAATTTTCATTATCTAAATGGTGCATGATTCTATTTACATATGTTTCCAAGAAATGGGTCGATAATTACTAGATATTGATGTCACCTCCTTTATATACTGGAACAACTTTTGCCATTTTTAGGGCACTGGGAACACTTCCTGTAGTGAATGTTAAATTTACTTAAGTACTTAAAATATAGTTTATATCTCACTCTTCA